CAGCTAGTAGCAAAGGAAAGGCTGCCAGTGCCAGTCGCTTCCCTAGATTGAAGGCACCAGATGCCTCCATCTGGAAGGTAAGTCTGCCACCCAGTGTCTAAGCGGGAGAGGTGCAGGGGCAAGCAGCTTCCTTTGCCCTGCCAGCTGTGCTCAGACTGTGGCAAATTCTTCGGCCACCCTTGGTGAGGGAAAACCACTGGTGGGAAGACAAATAACACAGATTTCCCTCTATGATTTGTAACCATCTTAAAGGCAGGTGACTATTTTGAAAAACAAAGTATTTTTTTTTCAATTAGTGCCTTGAGGGGATTAAAAGTCTCATTATTTTAAAGACAATAATGTATACCATGGAATCCTACTAACGTACATTTTTAGAAGAATTTAAAATATATCTCCTCCAAGAAATAAGTGTTGGTGCTGCTTTTTCCATGCAGGCCTGTCTTTTGTAAGAAAGGGAGAATGGCCTGTTCGATTTATTCTGCTGCTGAGTAGGGAACTGTCCATACAGCTTGATGGAGCCCAGTCTCCCCTCAATCCTGGGGTCTCAGAGCTGCGTATTAAACCCAGAAACTGGGCCCTGTCTAGGAGGCTGTTTGTCATGAGGCTTTCTGCAGAGACTTCAGATCTAGGAGGAGCACCAGGCAGGAGATCAGCTCTATTCTTGTTTCTCAAAGAAGGTGTGGAGTCTAGTGCTCCCACCAGGGTGGCAAAGGGCCTCCCCTCTGAGGACTCAGAGGGAGGGGCCAGGAGGTCAGAGCATCAGAGGCTCAGATATTTGGTCCTTTGGGTTCGGGGTTGAATGGCCATTGCTTCCCTGGAGAGGAACAGGAGAGCCAAAGCCTCAGACCAAGCCTGACTGAGGTAGGAGAGGCTCAAGAGAGCCCTTCCCACACCAGCAAAGCCAGTCCCTGGAGGTCAGGCCTCAGGTGCTCAGCAGCCCTGAGCTCGTTGTGCCCTGAAAAAGGCCTCTCCTAAAACTAAAAAAGAACTCCTTTATTTTGGAGCAAAAGGGAGACACCCCTTCGCCCTCTCTCCTCCCCCGTCTCATAGGATACTTGCTGACTTCAATATTATCTGAGCACAAAGGGTCACTTCAGTTGGAACAAGTCTGAACTAATCTTTTTAAATATGGAACAAGGCCAGGCCAACCCTCACTTGGCCCCGAGTGCTTGGCAACTCCATTATTCCCTTGATCAACAGTATTCTGGAGCTGGAGGAGTTCCAGCTAATAAATAGAGAAGGAATAAAAGAATTTTTTTAGCCCTGGCCAGATGGCTCACTTAGTTGGAGCATCGTCCCATTACCAAAAGGTCATGGATTTGATCAGGGCACATACCTAGTTTGCTCAATTGATCCTCAGTTGGGGTACATATGGGAGGCAACCGGTTGATGTTTCTCTCTCACACTGATGTTTCTCTCTCTCTCTTCTTCTTTTCTCTCTCAAATCAATAAACATATCTTCAGGTGAGGATTAAAAAAATAGAAATTTTCAAAAATCACTAATACTCCAAATTAAATAATGGATGTAGGTAATAATCATCAATGGATACTAAAATAATCAGATGAAAGGTTAACAGGGAACTTTGTGGGTTGACACTACTGAAACTTACTGATCAATCTTGGCATCATTAAAAGTGAAACAATCAGCCCTAACCAGTTTGGCTCAGTGGATAGAGCGTCGGCCTGCGGACTGAAGGGTCCTAGGTTCGATTCCAGTCAAGGGCATGTACCTTGGTTGCGGGCACATACCCAGTGGAGGGGTGTGCAGGGGGCAGCTGATGGATGTTTCTCTCATTGATGTTTCTAGCTCTCTATCCCTCTCCCTTCCTCTCTGTAAAAAATCAATAAAATATATTAAAAAAAAAAAAGTGAAACAATCAGGCAGTATATGCCTGATGGTAACAGCGCTACTATGAAATATTGGTGCCTAAACATACTGATTGACTCTAAGCAAGGCCCTAAAGATAACTACTAGTTTACAGGAAAGACAGAGGGTAGAGGAACACGTTCCCTTACTCCACAAGAAAGCAATCAGACAAATACAGAACACAGACAATGCTCAGAACAAATATTAAATGTATTTTTATTTGCTGAATTTAGCAACCCTACAACCAAGCCAGAAGACTTGAAGCCATCCTGAATTCCTTCCTCTTTTTCTATTTTTTTTTTTTTTTTCAGAGAGGAAGGGAGAGGGGGAGGGAGATAGAAACATCAATGATGAGAGAGACTCATTGATTGGTAGCCTCCTGCACACCCCCTACTGGAGATGGAGCCCGCAACCCAGGCATGTGCCCTGACTGGGAATCGAACCCAGGACCTCTTGGTCCATGGGGCGACGCTCAATCCACTGAGCCATCACAGCCGGGCTCATTTTCCATTTTTGATTGCCTTCCAGGTCTTGCTGATTCTTTTCTATATTTCTCATTCTGTCCTCCCTTCTCCATCTCCATGTGACTTTCCTACTTCGAGCCATTGCCCTCTCTTTCTTAAAAGCTCCTTTAATTGCCTTCCACTTGGCCTTCCTGTTTCCAGCCTCATCCCTTCTAATTCATGCACAACAGGTAAACTGGTCTTTCTAAAAGGCAACCTGACCACAGCACTCCTCTGCTTAAAATCCTTCCCTGGTTCCCCATGGCTTTCAGGATAAATTTGAGACTGATTTTAGTTGATAAAGCCCTCGGTCATTTGATTTCTCTCTCTCTCTATATATAGTCCCATTCCTCTCAGGCTCTAACCCAAGGACCATTTGGGTATTTATAACATCATTCTCAGGCTATACAACATTATCTTAACTTAAAAATTGGCCTGCTATATTCGGTCAAACGTTTAATTAACTCACTCTATAATTAACTTACCCTAATGCTTTGGCAGGGCCAGACCAAATGATTTTGCTGGCCTTATGGGGCCTGTGGCTGGATGTTCCCCTCCCCTGCTCTAACGCATCACACATGCATCAGCCACGTCAAGCTCTGGGAGCCCAAAAGAGTACCACACCATCCCTTTTGATGGTGTCTCTCTATTCTTATTAATACCACCATCCCACACACATCCTACTCTTCTCCTTTGCCTGGCTAAATTCTACTCATTCTATTAAAAAAACAGTTTAAAGGTCACTTCCTCCAATAAGTCTTAACTTATTGTTTCAAGCACATATTTTTGCTCCTTGACACACTGTATTGTAATAGTTGACTTATCTGTGTGTTTCCCCAACTACATCATTTTAAGTTCCTTCAGAGCAAGGACTGTGTGTTATCTATATAAAGTCAGCAACTGATAGAGTAATCAGCACTAGTAAACAATTAATAAATGTTTATTAGATGAATGATGGTTCTTTAGCATAAAATGTTCCTACTCTCATCTCTGGCTGATCCAGCATGTCTTAGTTGGACACTCCCCTCCATTTTCAGATGTGGACCTTCCTGCCTGTTGTATCTTTACCTTCACTGAAACTCTGGGCTTTGATTTCCGTGGCTCAACCGTGATGAAAAAGCTTCCTGTCCACTCCATTACGCTACTACTGAATGGATGTGGAATAAAGAAATGACACCTTACCAAGTGAGGCCCTCGCCAGTTCCCCACCCAAGCTGAGTTTCAGATCATGATACCAGCTGACATCAGGCAGCTGTTAGATGAGAGATTTCCGCCTGCCATCCCAACCCCCATGCTTTGCCCCCAGCCCTCCCTCATCCCCTGGGGAACAACTTCTCTTTTTGTTTTGGGCCACAGAGTGTTTAGCAGGAGCAGACACCATGCCTTGTTTGAGCTGTGATCTAACACCAGCTGACAGGTGGGTTTCGGGGGTGTCCCTGGGGCCATGGCCTGTTTAGTGGATGTACCACTCTCAACTCAATTACAGGAGACTTTCACGCTCCATAGGCGATTCCAGGCCCTTTTTGATAAAACTCTGGGGAGTAAATAAGTCATGATGGTGAGAGGGGCTACCATTTAATATTCATTGAAGTACACGTGTTTGGAAATTGGAAGCAGAGTTTAGTCCATTTTCATATTTATATCAACATAAAGCTTTAAAAAGGATCCCTCTTTTTCTCCAGCATTCTTGTCAAGTTCTCCTTTGGAAAGCTAAAGGTAAACCAGACATACATTTTAAAATTAAAAATATCTAAAATTATAAAGTGTGACTTTGAGATGTTAATTTTCAACTCAGAACCAATTCTTGCATTTCCTTTGAACTCCTGGGACAGGTAGGTAACAGATAAGCCATTGCTATTTCTGATGGCTAGATTTTTGGATTTAACTGTGTAATAAGAGCTCAGCGAAACGAAAAAATTCAGAAGATTCTGGTCTCAGTCCCAAGATATTACAATTTAGGGGAATGTTTAATAGCCATCCCAAGTAAGTGCAAAAGCACCCCTTTTCAAATAAAGGTAAAATTCACAAAATAGAAGTGTTCATGCTCACCAATAAATTATAGGACTGTTCATTGAGGGAGAGCTGAAATATGAGGAGAAAGAGTTAACACAGTGAAGGGTGTAGAGCACTGTTGTGTTGTACCCTCCACTCCACTTTCTTTTTTTTATGGGGATGAATGTTTAAATATGGTGCTATGGTTGAAGGCATTTCTTTTAATAATGCAACACACAGCTTCCTGGGGGGACAGCAGTTGATTTGGAAACTGAATATGGTGCACTCTAAATTCTCCTCCCCGAGGAAGGCTGATAACTAAGTGCCATGAGCTAGCATGGGGACTCAATCTGTCAAATCAACTTGCTGGAAAAGCCCCATGCGGAATCTTCTCTAGTCTCCGGAAGCTAATGTGAGCAGACACTTGTGACATTAGACAGTGTAGCAGGCCTGGCATGAAGGAAAAGTTCACCACCCACCGACAAGGTGGTCTTTAGATAAAGAAATCAGTGCAAATTTGTTAATGTAACAACTTGGACAAAGACGCTTTAAAAAAACAGCTGCTCTATGGGGAGAAAGGATCAAAAGAAAAAGAAGGCAATAACAGAACTTGGAAGCTTTCTTTGGGCTTTCTGTACCTTTGAGGCATTGCCTTTTCTACTGGTCCTTCTTCAAGGCTGGGGTATCTTCAGTTAAGTAAGTGAGTCCCAAACTTTGCCACTCCACAAGCCACTGCTCCACCTAAAACTGAAAAAGGAAAGTAAGGGGAGGGAAAAGCAGTGAAGAGGGAAAAACTTCTGTGCCTTTGCCTTACTGGGATAAATAACATCTTTCCTATTTCAGATGGGTGATCAACCGACTTTCTAAGTGAGAACTGTTATCTATCTGATGTTGGTGCATTAGTCCTGGAGGAAAATTGAAGTGATTATTACCTCTGTGTCTGACACAAAATATAAGTATATGTCTATAAGTGAATCAAATATTTTAAGAATTAAACAGCATTCTAGGGGAAAATATAGTTATTAATATCAGATAGACAACTCTGATTATGTTGAGTGTCTGACTCCGGGAGGTGGTTTTGCCAGTTATTTCCCCTCGGTGGGGTGAATTTAATAAAAATGGAAATTTGCTATAGCATGCTTATTGCATATTTAATTTAGAAAATAATCTGATACTTCTTTGAGTAGGACATGCTGAATCAGCTTCCATGGCAGCTGTGAGAGCATGGGTTCTGGATAGAGACATCTGAATTCAGGTCCTGGTTCTGCTACTCACTAGTTTGTGATTTGGGGAAAGTTGTTTAGGAAAAACATTTACCTCATAAGATTATTATGAAAACACTTTTATCATAGGAGTATTATAACATAAGTTAATACATGGGAAGTTCTGAGGTCAGTGTTTGTGATATACTAAGTGCTTCAGAAATTTGGCCACAGTTATTATTTAAATGAACCTAAATGGGTTCCCAGAGTTTTTTACTGATTTTAACCAAAAAAAAAAAAAAAAAAAAAAAAAAAGGGTTCTGTGGTCAAAAAAGCTTACAAATCAGGTTTAACATAATCAACCTTTTTAAAATATAGTATTTTTTATATTAAATATGTATTATGAATATCCAAGGGAGAATTTAGTTTCAAATATTTGACCATATAAACCTTTTTCATAGCTGATGCTGTTCCCTAAGTGAAAAAACAACAGTATCCTAACCTCTGGTTCAGAAGTTAAGGAATTTTTGAGTCATGGGACCTGAACCACTAGGACAGTAATTTAAAGCATGGTAATCGGTTATCCTATCGGCCTCATACGTCCCAAAACACTCCCTTTTTAGAACAACATTTTGTAAAGTGGGATTGGTAGGAGACAGAATATGTACCGTTAAAACACAGACACTGGAGTTGGACAGACCGGGGTTTCAATTTCCCAAACAAGCTATATAATATCTCTAAGCCACAGTGTCCTCGGCTATTGAAAGGACAGTAATAGTGATATTTACCTCCTAGGCTTGCTCTATGAATTAAATCAGGTAATGCCTGGCTCTTAGCTATTAATGATGTATTTATTCCAACAGTGGGGCTAATGTTTGTCAACAAATAATGAATTAGTTATTCTATTCTCAACTAACTACTGTACTCATTCAGAGCCCTTGGTGCCTCTAAGGTTGCAGTAAAAACACACACACAAAAAAACCAATGGAATGGGAATAAGCATCTGTGGGTTTTAAAGCACCCTTTGTGCTTGATTAAGTAGTTAGTTGATGAACATATATGACATTTTTACCAAGATTACCACAACCCTCTGTGCTTAGTTTTCTGTGGAAAACAACCATAACAGCAGCACACCTTGCCTACTTGTATCAGAGTTACTGTGAGAAACAGAAATGCTTACATACATATGATTTTCTTAAACTATAAAGGCCTATAGCTTTTTCAGAAATAATTTATTACATGTTTACTATAGTCTAGGCCAGTGGTCAGCAAACCGCGGCTCGCAGCTCGGCAAACCACGGCTCGCGAGCCACATGCGGCTCTTTGGCCCCTTGAGTGTGGCTCTTCCACAAAATACCACATGCGGGCGCGCACGTACAGTGCAAGTGAAACTTCGTGGCCCATGCGCAGAAGTCGGTATTTTGTGGAAGAGCCACACTCAAGGGGCCAAAGAGCCGCATGTGGCTCGCGAGTTGTGGTTTGCCGACCATGGGAGGCACTGTGGTAGGTCTTACATGTGATACCTCATTTTAATCCTTACTATGAGGTGGTATTTTTATACCTACTTTAGAGATGAGGAGACTGAGGCTCAGGGAGGCTAAGTACTACTAATTTTTCCCAAGCTCACCTGGCTTATAGAGCCAAGAATCAACTCCAGATCTGTCAGACTTAAAAGTGCTTTAGAACCATTGTGCTTGAAAAAATAATAGCATTGCTTGGCCAGCGTGGCTCGTGGTTGAACATCGATCTATGAACCAGGAGGCCACGGTTCGATTCCCCGTCTGGTCACTTGCCTGGGTTGGAGGCTCGATCCCCAGTGTGGGGCATGCAGGAGGCAACCGATCAATGCTATTGCCTTATCATTGATGTTTCTATCTTTCTCTCCCTCTCCTTTCCTCTCTGAAAATAATAATAACATCAAAACACATTTTAAGTTAGAGATTAGTATTGGCCACATACAATTCATCTCTCTGGCAGTTCTACAGACACCTTTTTGATGTTGTAAAACTCCTTAACTTGGACAATAGCCACTCAATGAGTGAAGATGAAGCATTGGGTAGGAAATAGAGTGGTCAATACAGAATCCAGTGTCTTAATTGGATGATTATTTATAGACACTGGCTAACTTGATTAACTTTCCCTGTGACTTAGGTATATTTGCCATAATTATTACAATGACTAGCATGTTTGAGGTCACAAACTCCAGAAAGTCCAGTCACCTGTGTTAAGTGGTCTCTACCTCCTGAGAGTTTCTGGATGACAAACTGACATGCATGGCAAGTAGTTTCATGAACTGCAATAGAGCAAGGTCTGTCAGAGAAGGAAAATCTGTATTAATCATATGCTATAAAACACTTTTTGTTAGTTACATATATTCTTTTACTTTCATTTCCCAAGAATAGCTCAGCTGTCAAAGCATTTCCATGATTTCCATAGATTCGTCAAATACTGTGCGATCGAATTATTGCTCTGAGAGAAGCTACAATTAAAACACATTAATCATTGTAACAAAGGATCCTTATTGAAGCTGACAAAGATGGTGAAATCTGATGAATAATTGGTCTGGTTAATCTTTTAAAAAAGTGAATTAAACTGCTAACAAGTTAAATCACTGTGATTTTCAAAATAAGCCTCCAGGGTGAGCAGAGAATGGGAATATTATCATCATTTAAAAAAAGATATTTGCTTTCTTCTTCTCACCTCTCGACTTGCACTGGAGGCCCAGGGTTAGAATTAGGAGGACCCTGAGGACCAGCTGGCAGAATGAGGTTGGTCCAAGTGTAAGGGCATGCTCTTCACTTTCCTCTTCAATGATTCCTCAATATTTCTAAGAGAGGCATACAGTGGATAGAAGAAGATCCAGACTAATATGGCACCCACTTACCAGCCATTCTCAATGACTTCAAGTGGACCCATCATGTGGTTCTGATTTCATCCCCACTCTAAGCCAACAAACCATGACAATGAGGTCACTCTGTTATAATTGCCCCTTATGCCCTTTTTCCAGTCAGATCACTTATCCTTCCAGATACTTCTCCTATTTGCATTTCAATTACTGGAAAATATACTATGGTGGAAAATATACTATGCTCTGAAATAAACTGAAATGGGCAAATATGAACTGGTCATCCATTGCAAATGGACGGAAGAGGACTTTTGAGCTAAAGTCTTGACTCGGGCTAGGCCTCCACAATTTTGGGGAGTTTTAGTGGATGCTGTGATGAATGGTCCAGACCCTCTTCAGGAAGAAAGGGGTTATTCTCCCAGCTGCTGGGAGTGATGATAGATTTGGCCCTCAGCTGTTAGCCTTGAGTAAAGAAAACTGAACACACTCTTCAGGGTCATACATACTTCTTTATAGGGGTAGCTGATGTCCAATCATGGGGCTGTAAAGACTGGCCTGTTGCCACAGTTCCCTGTGGGGTTGGCAATACTGTCTTTGTTGGGATTGCAATTCTGCCCACTTCCTCCCTTGGGGTCTTGACCAAAAAAAATCTGTTAAGAGAATAGGTAATGCCCACAAAAATTAATTTTCCCTGGGATCTCCCGTCACGCTGCAATTTCCAAGTCACTTTAAACTCTTTAATCTCTTGGTGATGCTATTGCCTAGGTCATTGTGAGAAAAAGCCAAACTTACAATGCTCTTGCTATGAATCAGATCCCTATCTCTATCTTAGGTTTCAACCTAGAAAATCTTAACAAAACTATAAAGAATCAAAGAAAAGAAACAGACTAAAGCGGGCCTCAGAGAAAAGCGAAGTGGAATTGGCTCAGGATAAAGAAGTTCTATTAACTCCCTTCCAATGCAAAAAGTCTATTGTGTGGAAACTGTTCAACTCTTCTTTGACTTCCTATTGGAACAAATAAGATTGAAGGAGGGAAGATTTTGGCTAGAAGATGTACTGCAGATGCTTTTTATAGGTTCTAAATCACTTTACACATTTCTTTCCATCCTTTTCTTTTTTTCTTAAGTAAACAATACTGTTCTACCCTAGCTCTGGCCCCTGAGGTGCCATTTAGGCCCGACATCAAGCTAAGCCTGATTAAGAAGTATGCAGATGAAAATTAATAAATAAATAAATAATCCAAAATACACTCATAAAATTAGGCCAACCAGCCTCTTCAGTTTTTTTTATCTTTTTGTATCTTTGGCCTCAGAAGGGGCAAGCAGGGGGCCTCAGACTAGGGATAATTGGCTGGTCTTAAGGTGCTCAATATCATGGACAACCAAGTTCCATGTCTTAGGACTCAGAAAAAGTTGAATTCAGAAGGGCAAAAGTGCCACTTTAAGATACTCCCATTTTCTTCTTCCAGATTCCTCAATATTTGTAGAAAGAATTCGTTTTATTTTTTGAAAGCATTGTTTTCTGTGTACATGTATGTGTGCATGTGAACATTAATGTCGGTAGGTGTTTCCCAGCATCTAGAAGGGTTCAGGAGCTGAAACCGGTTTGGCTCAGTGGATAGAGCGTTGGCCTGCGGACTGAAAGGTCCCAGGTTCGATTCCAGTCAAGGGCATGTACCTGGGTTTCGGGCACATCCCCGGTGGGGGATGTGCAGGAGGCGGCTGGTCGATGTTTCTCTCTCATCGATGTTTCTGACTCTATCTCTCTCTCTTCCTCTCTGTAAAAAATCAATAAAATATATTTTAAAAAAATAGAAGGGTTCAGGAATCTGGAGAAGGCGCTGCGGTGTAAATTAATAAATAGACTAGAAATATAACATAAATTTGTAATCTATGGGGGAGCCAGAGGAAGCTTAGCTATAGGAACGAAGTTCTTCTGAATCTCCGGACCCCTCGCTCTTTTTTTTTTTAAATTAAATCTTTATTGTTCAGATTATTACATTTGTTCCTCTTTTTTCCCCCCATAACTCCCCTCCTTCCAGTTCCTACCCCACCCTCCGCCCTCACTCCCCACCCACTGTCCTCATCCATAGGTGCACGATTTTTGTCCAGTCTCTTCCCGCATCTCCCACACCCCTTCCCCCCCCAAGAATAGTCAGTCCATTCCCTTTCTATGTCCCTGATTCTATTATAATCAACAGTTCATTCTGTTCATCAGATTATTTATTCACTTGATTCTTAGATTCACTTGTTGATAGATGCATATTTGTTGTTCATAATTTGTATCTTTACCTTTTTCTTCTTCTTCCTCTCCCCTTGCTCTTTATTAACACAAATTGTCCTAAGGCAGGGTAGATATACATATCAAAGGTTAAGGTTTGGTATACAGTAGGCATTGTTAGTTTTCGGGGAACTGCCTTTGGCTGGCTGTTCAGGTGTTTGGCCAGCAGGAGGCAATAACATGTAGATTAAAATGCCCTCAGCTGTATGGCAACAGGCAATAATAAATGCAAATCTTTCCGTGTGGGGAAATGCCCTCAAGCTATTCCAGTAGGTAATAACATGTATTCAGCCCTGCTGAATATAGAAGCCTCAAGGTTCCGTCAACCTTTTGATGAAACTTCTTACATTTATGACATGGTGGAATTAGCCTCCGGCAGAACATATGCACACATCTGTACACCAAGTCTCTAAATAGCGTGCATATGGGGCTTTCCTCTTCCTAGTGGGAGTTCAAAGAAAGGGAATCTTGATAGAAATGGTAGAAATATTAGTCTTTGAAATTCACCATAAGATTCAATCCACTGGTTTGATGTGGCAGATATACTACATCAAGTCTTAACTCCTCTGCTGGGAGATGCAGCATGTTGCCATGGCATCGCTGTCCATGGTGCTGACATTACTGAGCTAAGTAGGCATGGATGTTTCTCTTAATCCTGAGACACTGGTGAATTGAAATGAAGGTCCTTGTGAGTGCTTATGTCAAATGCTCATAGTTGTACACTTTTTCTTTTCTTTATTTATTTATTTTTTTTGGCTATCAATACCTTTTAAGTGTTCACACTTTGTTTTATTCTTGAAGATTCATAACAAAAATACATGGAACTTAGTATGAGTTTTGATACATTGGGCAATTACAAAAATCTAAACAAGACAAGTCCATAAAATATGTTCCTCCTTGTGTGGGGACAGAACCTTCCATTCCACTAAGCAGAGAGAACCACAACTGATTATTGTTCTAATTTGGAGATTGACAGACTTGGAGACAAAATATATTTTTTTTACAAAAAAACCACAAATAAAACCACAAACCACAAATAAACCACAAATAAAACTCAACACAGTCAACTGCCTCAACTCCCCTCTCCTTTTTACATTTTCTTATTTACATCATATAACCAGAATGGACAAAGGCATAAGGCAGAGATATGTGGGACAGGGTTAGGTACTCAGTGACTGAATGCCAGACAGACACATGAGTTTCCTGAGGTGACTGAGAAATGTACTTTGAATCAACCACTCAGTGTTGTAGCTGAGAAATACAAACGGGGGGAAAGAATTAAAAAGAAGCTACAGGAACTGCTGCTAGGAGGCCTGATGTCCACAGCAAATGTTTAAAATCCAACTTATATAGTGAGAAGATGGCCTGAATATATGGTCAGTACATTTACATAGAAATCTGTAACTGTGAAGTTAGTACCTCTTTGTAATAACACAAGCTGGAATGCTAACAACGCATAAACACTTCTGCTAAAAGCCCACCAACTGAGCCAAATCATGCCTTCCAAGCAAGAAGGAAACTTATTTGCATTCTCAAGACATGACTTGCTTTGGGACAAAAATTGAGTACTAAATTTACTAACATTTTTTATCTCTCGTATCATTAACACCTTCTTGTTATATTTGTCTGACTCCTTAGTGGCTGCCAGTTCTCCTGAACCCCCTCCAATGATGATGAGGTCATAGTCGCAGGCCTCAGAAAGATTCTCAGAGCCACTAATTTTTAGTAGCTTTTGAAGTCTGCCCTCCTGATACGCCTTTAGGTTTGGAACATGGTTGCCTATCTTTGTCTGTTTCACAAAAACAAGGAGTACGGTTTCCGAGGTCAGTTCTAACAATGCTCCCTTGAGGCCCAGCCCATCCTATGAATACGAGCTCTAGGATATCAGGCTCTTCTTCAGGCGTCCCACCACTTATGCTCTGATGCAATACAGAACTGAACTGTATTATTTTTCCATCTGAAGAGCAACTTTAATTTTTACTATATTGCAAAACAAAATTATGATTTAAATATCCCTTGTGTGTAGAGAATTCACATATACTGAAGAGTTCTATCATGTTTCAGTTAATTACAAAATTTCCTCCTCTGGAAGCCACATCAGCCATCCACTCTTCCCCATATCTCTCTACTTATAACTCTATCTGGCTTTGAAAACATTCTACAATTTTATCATAATACCTGCAT